CAACACAAGCAATATTGCTTTTTGCTGGGAAGGGAAAGAAGGAAAAGAAACAGTGTGTGGAGGAACAGGAATGAAAGGGAAGACTGTACCTGATGTACATGCCCAGCATTGCACAGTCATATAAGTCATTCCACCCTACCATCAGACTGCTGGAAAGCCACAGGAGAAATTACAGGTGTTCAGGAAATCCTAGCTTTTTGCCCTGGGTGCCTCCAGCAAGCTGCAGTACAGGCTTTCTTCTACGGTGAAGTTTGTGTCTCCTACCATGAGCCCAGTATGGCCGCTCCCCATCGACAGTGAAGAACAGTTCCCCCTAAGTTAGTAGATACAACCTAAGAAATCCAGGTATTATCTGAGGTACTTTGTTCACTAATTTTCATCACGTGAGTTTAATTTCAGTTATTTGTAGCAATATTGAATAATGAATAGAGACATATCCCTTAATATAGTCTAGATAATCTGCAAATGCTAGAAAGCCTTAGGCAGTAGGGCAGCTTTATAAGTTTTAGGCACTGTTTTTGTGGAAAATCAGGGCCAGAAGAGATTACTAAAATTGGACTGACATGTAGTTTGTTTTTCTGTCAACTCTTAAGGATGCTGGTTTCTTTTTACAGGAAGATTGTGGATAGAATAGATGACAACAAAGATGGCTATCTCACAACAGAGGAACTAAAAAACTGGATTAAACGGGTACAGAAACGCTATATCTATGAAAACGTGGCTAAAGTTTGGAAAGACTATGATCTAAACAAGGACAATAAAATTGCCTGGGAAGAATACAAGCAAGCCACATACGGTTATTATCTAGGTAAAATAACATTTTCAGATTATGTGCTCAAATGCTATTGAGATCATAAGGCATGATTTCATGCCTTACAGTCAACAGGAGTTTGGTGTCACGTTTAGGACTCTTGAAAATTGCATTAAATTTTATAGATGCTCAGAGGTCACAAGCACTTCTTAGTTGTTTATTGCAACCGTTGCCACATGAGTCACCAGAACACAGAACTCAGTGTACTGACAAAACTAAATTAAAGTCTCCTCCAATTAGAAATTTATATGTTTTTTTACATTAAAAATGGTACATTAGTTAAAAACCAATATATTGCATAATTGACCAGTATTTGTTAATTCACTCTCTGTAAACTCTTTTAAGATTCTGGATGCTAAAAATTCAAGCTGTGTCTCATCTATAGCAAAGTTACTGATTAAAATAGTTTTTGCAGAACAACATGCTTCAGACTGTGATCAACTGCAAATGAAAATCTTAACAAATATACCTGAATCTTTTTTTCCCCCACATACATTCCCTTGGCTTTTTATAAGTTAACGAAGGGAAAGGAGAAGAAATCACTTAAGCTAAAGGGCAATGCTGACAAAACAACAAATTGGTATTTTACCATTTATACTGGAAGTGAGAAGACAATATTTACCTATCATAGAGGCAGTTTCTGGAGCAAGCGTCTTCTAGTAGCAGTAATAATTCCAATAATTCTGCCTTAGATTAAAGTAGAGCATATTACTTTTGTGGAAGGCAATGTTTGACACGCCGTCCCTGCAGCAGTATCCCAGGGAGCCCTTCTCAGCTCTTTGTCTCTGATCTCTGTAGTCCCCAAGATTTGGAGAACAGCTACTACATTGTGGTTTTGCATTAATGCACACTTAAAATTCCCATCTGTGATTCCTGGCCTAGGCTGTTTCAGCTGTGTCTGTCTCCCAACGTACAAATTATGAAATTGTTATGAGTATTTTTCGTGTTTGAAGTCAGTTTAGTGATCCTATTTTAAAAATTATATCAAATACCATTTGTTTTATGCCACTGAACACCCTGAGAAATGTCATTGTTTTAAAGTGAGAATAATTGTTAGGTTTCCTGTAGCAGAGGCGTAGCAGTTAGATAATTTCAGTCAGTCTGCCAGCTTCTGAAACCACTTTCCTTTGGTGTTCTCACTTTTTCAAACTGAAAAGTCACGTAGAATGTTCTGATTACTAAGAAGATTAAAACTTCTGTGAATGAAATCTACCCCAAATACTGCCTAAGCAGTGCTTGTAAAAGCAGATTTAAAAAAATAAATCTATGAAGGATGATATACAATACTGCAAAGTCCATTATGCTGGATTCAAACAGAAGGCTTACTCAGACATCTGCCTATACTACTAAGTCAACTTTAAAAATCAAACCAAGTGCTTGACCTCTGAATTAAAATCTTCACAGGAAAAAGAAATTCCATTTTAACACAGCATCTATTCTGGCAATAAGCCTTTGTATTTCTAGACTCTAACAGCAAATTGGGGTACTTTGTTGTGGTAATATGTTTTAAAAGGAATGTAGCTTTGAGATTGTCTTGATTAATTCACAGAAAATCCTGAAGAATTCGAAGATGCAACCGATCAGCACAATTTTAAAAAAATGCTGCCCAGAGATGAAAGACGATTCAAAACTGCAGATCTGGATGGAGACTTAGCAGCCACTCGTGAGGAATTCACTGCTTTCCTTCACCCAGAGGAGTTTGAGCATATGAAAAACATCGTTGTCTTAGTAAGCAGAGCAAAACCAATGCCATCATTTTTACCTTTTTTTTTTTTTTCAGATGAGCTTTGAAATGCTTCTCTAACCTTATGCAGGATTTAGAAAGAGGCACACACATAATAGCCAAGTGGGGAACAGAAAGGGATGCCTTTCATGAAATTAGCTTGATTTAGAGCTCTAGTATAAGACAGACTTGTTAAATGTACTTAGACGGCTCCTAAATGGAATCAATAAAGTCTTGGGGTGTGGACTTAACATCAAAATGAAAGGAAGGGCATGCCGACATGCAGCAGCCAAGCATTTGAGGCAAGCTTGTATCTGCCCCTAACTTAAAACTTAAGCATGGCATCCAATTCATTGATGTGCAGGGAATTTTTTCAACATGAAAAAGTGTTTCTATATTCATTGTGTAAACAACAATCACATTGGAATCAGTGAGAGTACATTTGCCTGTGCACAAGGGGAGGTCAAGGCCTCAAACAAATGTGAAATGATCGAAGATGCAAATAGCCAGAATTCTCATTTCTCTCTTGATTACTTCAATGCAAAACTGTTTTCCAGGAAACCTTAGAAGACATAGACAAAAATGGGGATGGCTTTGTAGATCAAGATGAGTACATTGGTAAGTGTTGAGGTTTGTTTCTTATGTAATCTCCAGTCTGTTTGTCCATCTTCTCTCGAAGTTGCAGCAGTATCAGCAATGCAAAGATGAACGTTTCTGTGCTGCAGTTCAACTATTTCAAACCAACTATCCAATCCAGAAAGTTTAATTTCATTTTAGGCAGGTAGTAACATCACCACCAAAAGGTTCCTCACACTTTACAGCATAAGATCCTCCTCTTAGTCTTGTATAATTTGGCTAAGAGGGTCTGGAATAATATTTTTTATGACAGGAATGTTCTCTGTATACTTGACCACGTTAACAGCTTTGTGAAGGCAATGTTTGCAAATGCAGGAAGATCAGAAAGTGAATTAGTCTCTTCCCAAGTCTGAATGGTACTTGACTATGCAGTGACTATCTGAATGGTACTATGCAAAACAGCTGGGAAGCACACATTGCAAAAAAGAAAGTTCATCTTTTTTCCCCTAATTCTTTTCCTAATTTAATTAGTAAGTAAGAACCAATACTTCTCTAATGATTTGGTGATGCCATTATGTTTCTTCTAGAAATAGAAGACACATTAAAAATGAACTGTGTAAAAATAGCACTAATATTTAAGATTCTCAAATAAGTTGTGAAGTGCATGGAAGTCAGCTGTACTGACTTCAGTGGCAGAAAGAAAACAAAATGGGAAACGTCAACAGCAGATCAGTCACAGTGAATTTGCACAAACTTCAGTCACACTAGGCGGTTGGCTGCTCTCTTGCACTTAGACCTATGAAGTGAAAACAGAAGCAGGACTAGAGATCAGCAGTACATAATACATTTTAGCCTTTTAAATCATTATGCCAATGCCAAAAGCTAATTTCTCCCACTGCATTCACTTTGATGGGTTTTAAATCGAGAAAGTAGCACCAGGAAAACATTAGTGCAAACTCGGGTGAATCTTCCTGTTTCTAGTGGTGCTATAAAGATCACTTCACATATAATCAGGAACAATATACACACTTTAATTAATGGCAGGAGGTTTCTATTCCTTGTAAATTATGTTTAGCCTCAGAATGTGAATGCTATTCATTTATGACTGAAATAACAGAGGAGCATCATTTCCACAGTAATTTCATTTCATTCAGTGACATTACCTACATATAATTATAAGGTAATTGTCAACATTTGTTACCATGTGAATGCTGTTTTTTCTTGTCTTCTATAGATAGGAACATAGAATGTTCTAGTCATGATCACCCCACATTGGCAAGGATGATAAAAATCAGATTGACAGAACATGTCAGTTGCGTCAACAATATAATTTGTACTTTAAAAAATGTAAAAAGAAAGAGAATGTGTTGCATGAACTTTTCTTCGTTAGTTGAAGAAAACTGTGCTTAAAATACTCCTACTTCCCTTTTTCAGATTTTTTTTTTTTAAATTTCTGATCAAGCTGGGGTTAAAAAACAAACAAAAAACCAAATCTCTTCTTTGTTAGCGTATAAGGAACAACAAAAAGAAGTCCAAAAAATGGCAGTCTCTAGATCAGGTATTTGACAGGTAAATCTGGTGAAGGTTATAGAACAATTCCTCCCTCCTCCTCTTTCCTTCCCCCTATTTTGTGTTCTCCAAAATTTGGTTTAGATTTTGCACAAGCAGCAAAGCAAAATAACCCTAGTCACGTTAAGCAGAGAGAACTAAATTAACAGTATTAATAAACAGTATTTCAGGGAAACTGTGGACAGTTCTACTGATAAAGAACTTAAGCTTGGAGTACATGCTCCCATTGCAGGGTGGAGGGAGGTCATTCTTAGATTTGAGACCAGCATTTATACTTCCTATAGATACCAGCCAGCCACTGACCCTGAGGCCATCCATGTGGGATGCACTTTTCCCTAGCACATCCTTGAAAAACAATCCCAAAAGGCATAGGAGTAGTAGCACAAAGCAGGCTATAGTTATAAATAGGAAAGGGGAGGGCTTGAGGAATAAGCAGCCCTGAGGAGCAGGAAACCATTGATTGGCTATGGTGACCAGAAGAGTAAAGTGGACACGCTACTCATAAGTTGGAAGGCTCGTGCTGTAAAGAACAGATATGAATCACTTGCTCCTAATAATCATTGCTTCTCTCCCAGCTCTACACAGCTGCTACTGTGGCCTTTTCCTACTGGTGCTTCTTCAGTACAGCACAGGACTGATGTACAGAGCCGCTCATGTATGTAATCTATGCATCCTGTGTCACAAATGGCACTCCATCCGAAAGTACCAATCTGTGACAAGTGCACTGCCTGTGCATTCTCGGACAGATGCACCACTGATTCAGAATGACTTCCCCACGTCTTTCTTTGTAGAATACCTTCTACTGGAGCATGCTGCAGGACTGCATGGTTCCAAAAGGACCCATCTACTAAAGTGAATTTCTCTTACATAGACCTCTCTAAAAGCAGGACAAAAGCATACAAGTTCCATTTACCATTTTTGTTTTCCTGAATTTCCCCTGTGCCTTTTTTGCCTTAACCACTCTGCTGGCTGGAGTCCGATCTTATCCACAAAGACATTTGCTGGCAGGGACAAGATAAAAGTGCCGAGTTCCTTTCTCCCCCTCTGACTGAGCCCTGCTTATGATTGACATTTAACTAAAGATCCTTAAAGATTTTTTTTCACTTTGAAATTCAGTGCATGGTGGCCTTTGGACACATTCACCTCTCGCGTTAGCCACACCAGCAGCACACAGTTACAATGCAAGGGTAGTGTAAGAATAGACAGAATCACCAGCAGTGAAGAAATAGGCCTGGGAGAAGATACATGCAGTTACTCTAATTACACCCCATATTTCATTTCCCATACAAGGAAACACTGTGCGAAGAGTGAAAAGTTTAGTCTTCCTCTGAGGAACACTGCAAATGTATTCAGTTTGTGCATAATTTGCAAATTAAATATGACCTGAGTGAGACCTTTATTTCCTCTCCAGCTGATATGTTTGCAAATGAAGAGGGTGGACCAGAGCCTGACTGGGTGATTACAGAGCGTGAACAGTTTTCGGATTTTCGTGACCTCAACAAGGATGGAAAGATGGATAAAGAGGAGATTCAGCATTGGATTCTCCCACAAGACTATGATCATGCACTAGCTGAAGCCAGGCACTTAGTCTATGAATCGGATGTAGACAAGGTACTTGGTGATCTAGTATATTTTTTTTTTTAATTATATAAGGTGGTGTGGTTTTTTTTAAACGTATCAGCTAGCAAGCAACTATTCCTCATAACTTTGCTTATTCACTTTAAATGGAGTTTTAGAGGCTAGAATTGGTAGTGCATTAATGTATCAATGCCAGTTTCAGGTGGTAGAGCTAGAATCGCAAAGTAAAAGTAGTAAAATGCAGTTCATCAGCTTTGGAAGTCCCATTGGCTCTCCATAGGTTAGATAAGAAATTATTTTTCATCTTAAACCTGGAAATTTTAACACAGTAGAAATATTCTTTTTAATAGTGGTCATGGGTTTTGTATGCTAATTTAGACTGGAAGAGAAAAATAAAAGATATATTACATAGGAGGTAGCAAAAAACCTCCATTTCTATAATCAAACACACATCTTTGACTTAAAGACCAGTATACCCACTTCCTCTAACATGGGAGATTAATAGTTCAGTAGGTCCCGGATGATGATCTTCAGAAGTGTCATGTGAGGAAAACTGGAACCTGAAAAGCCAAAGCACTCTTACACAGAGAGTGTGTAAATTGCTAACATAAACAACCATCTTCAGCAAAATGCAGAGGACAAGAATGTGTACCAGATAACCCGTATACTGTTTGGCAGCAAGTTAATTACAAAGAACTTTCAATTAGCAGTTTGACCCAGCTGAAGCCAGTGGGACTTCTGTCTTCTTTGGGGTCCAAATTTCACTCACTGTGACAGCTACAGGGATTCCTGAATCTGCAGTCTGCTGCTTTGAAGAACTGTCTGTTTCCCAGGGCTCTTGTAAGTCTGTGCTGGTGTGCCTTTTACTTAGCTTTGAAAATATTCTTACAGAGATTTTATTTTCTTCCCACTAGGATCAAAAGCTAACAAAAGAGGAGGTTCTAGACAACTGGAATATGTTCGTTGGAAGTCAAGCTACTAATTACGGGGAGGACCTGACAAGAAACCATGATGAACTATGATACAGTATACCAACCAGTATGCCACAGACCTTTTCTTCACTTTACTGAAATCACCGTGCCCATCCCCTCTTTTTGGGGAAGATGGGCAAGGGACACACTCACAACTGAATGACATGCATTAATATATTTTTAACCTGCCAGCTTATTACCTCAGAAACTGCATAGAAATAGCTTTTTACTCTTTTCACATGGTTAAATACAGTATCTAATTATTTCAGTTCTGTTTTGGAACACATAAAAAGGTAACTTTTTCTAATAGCCTGATCTGGGAAAGGTAATTCTAAAATATAATTGCAAGGATCTTTAATAGTGAAATATTTTCTTGACATACACGTTTTTACTATAGTGAAATGCAGATAGTATTAGAAAGAAACAATATTTAAACAGACTAAGTTATTTAGTTATCTTTTTTGATAGCATATAACAATTTAGAGTTCTACTTTAACCCTTCTGTCTATAGAAGAGGTTTGACACAAGATCCACCACCTTTTTCTCCACACTGTTTTTCTCCCAGTTTGGGCCAGAGGTGCTGAAGAAGGTATCCAGCAGCCCTCAGGTTTGTAGCTTTGCAAGTGCAACATGTACAACCGGCCCTTCTCTTTAACCCCTATCACAGTGCAGAGACAGCACACGTGGCCCAACGCACTGTGCCGGCATAGCTGCTCCTTTGGACAGCGGAATAACGTACAATTGTTTGTGGGCTGTTGGTTATGCTGTTTTTCCTGGGAGGAATTATGCCACGTGGAGTATAATTTGTCTCACACTTTTCGCACTTTACCCAAGCCATACTCTTGTTCACACAGTGTGAATGGCAGCAGTTCTGTGATGGAGAAAGAATGAGACACATCACCCCTCTGGGCCTTCTGTCTTCTCTGCCACATAAGAGGACAGATTTATGTGGCTAAAGTTCTTGCTTTGTATGTATATACATATAAGTACATGTTACTGACACAACAACGTGAAGACAGCTTTCCTTGTAAAGAAAGGGGCAAGCTTTTGACAGAGGTGCTTTCTTTTTTACTGTATAATGTGAGCTGTTACATGTATATTTTTATATATCCAACTTACCTAAGTTTGGTTGTTTTTAAATGTACTGGTTTTAAAATAAGCACAATAAAACCAATACTTTTTGATACTATGAAGGTGCAATAACACTAATACAGACTAGCATAGAGAGGCTATGTGAAAGCAGGAACCAAGCCACTAGTTCGCGAAGCACTGGGTCACTGGCAGCTCCTGCAGCACTGGGTGATCATCTACAAACAGCAGCTGGACATACGGCACCAACTGTTTCTTCTTCACTTCATAAAAACAAAACAAAACCAAACAAACTAGTAATAAGTCCAATATACATAGTTGCTATCACTAGAATCTGTTCTGAACACTAATACTAGATTAGGGCTCCACAACACAGTTCACTTGGAGGTTCCTTGGAGGTTTGGTGGACGTACTGCTGATCACACAGCCATCCAGAGAGGAGCTTTGAGACACCCAGGTTGTGATACATTTCAGCAATTTAACAAATTTGTGAAAATCATCATAAGACAATGCAGAACTGTGACCTCCATAAACAGTGTCATTTTTACAAGGTCATATAAGAACTGTGGTGAAATATTTTACATCTTCCAATTGAAGACAGTTAAATCTAGATATCAGATGGCAGAGATTACACGTTTTTACCAACACAATTATTAAGCTTTTGGTGTGCACTTCCTATGACATTGCCAGCAATGTCTCCAAAAAGTCCCTACCTCTTCCACTAACATACAGTAGGACAAATGTCATAAGACATAAGTGAACCGTTTTTTGCTCTTCCACTACCCTAAAGTTAAATAAATGCCTAAATGCAGTGTTATCTGAGAAGCAATAAAATTGTATCTTAACAGATGTAAAATATTACCTGTTTTGTTATGACTTGGATTTGGAAAAATTTATTGTATTCAATAATCCTAACAATCTTAAGAACTTTTTTTTTACATTTTTATATTTTAGTAACAGAATTATAGTACTCTGTCTGCACTTAGATTGTCTTCTGCTGTTTCATGAAAGACTACCTTAAAAGACCTCAAAAGCTTGTTTCCTGCAAGTGAAACTGCAGCTCAGACTGGATACTTAAGCCAAGGATTTTCACTGGAGCCCGAGGGAAGGTTGTTTGCTAACTCTTGTTGAAATTCAGTGGGAGTTGGGTGCTGAGACACTAAGCATCGTTGCCTTCAGCTAAACATGACACTTCCAAATCCACTGTGGTCTGTCCCAACAAAAAACTGCATCTGAGCTTTGACAAGCAATCACATTTTCTTCCATGTTACTCAATGAATTTGGAATAGAATTAGTGTCAAATGAGAGAAATAATGTTGCCATCTTTCTTCTCGTTTTCTTTTAATGCTTGGAACACATTGGGCATTTTCCAGTATAAAACTATACTTACATGAGTAATAATGCTAAAATCAGGAGTTAATCATGCAAACAGAAGCTGGAAATTTAGACCCATAGTATTTTACAGTAAAATCTTTTTTTACAAAAAGAATGGTGCTCAGGTAGACTATATCCAGCTATGAAAAAGGCAAACATGCCAACTAGAATGAGATTTAAAATAATGAAATTATTTATCAGTCATAAGAGTAATGGGGTCATATTAAGATTAGGAGCTTTTTTATAAACCAGAATCTAGAAACATTTTTTTAGAAAATATAAGCATCACTGAAGTTATTTCACTCTAGACGCTACCCTCTTCTTTCTGCAGCTCTTCATAGTGTTTCACTTAGCAACATCCAGTAATGCACAGTACATTTCATGCACTAAATTTTCGTTTCAAGCTCAGTGCACTAAGGAAGAGTAACTCCAAAAGAGACTAGAGCTTCTGGGTTTAAATTTAACACTATTTAAGGAAAGCAAACCTTTGCTAGGGGATATAACTGTTAACATGGTGATTTTTCAAGCCTAAGGTTTCTAATGGGGTTTGACTGTTCCAGAGATAGCATTTTTTTTCCTAGGTAACATATTTCAAGTCATATTATGAGCAAACGTTACAAAATTTTAGTGTAATGTGAAATACTGTAATGTCAGATAGCATTATATATCTGCTTAATATGACTAAAACCATTAATTGCTGGGAGCCATACTTCATCCCAACAACATGAAAATCCATTTTGTGCTTATCTTGTCAGTTATTGCTGATTTTCTTAATGAATTGTGACGTAGTGAAATTCTGTTGGGAAACGTGTTTATATACTTCCAACTGCAGGTTCTGTGTGGTAACTCTTATTACATAGATCCTCCATTAACTAAATGTTTTCATTATGGCTATGCCACAACATATCAAAGGTGCATTTTTCTTACTTAGGTATCTGGAATAGCCATTATTATTGCACATGCAGATTTAATTATTAGAATTTATTAAATGAACTAAGTGGCTAATGTTCATTGTCTTATATTTCCATTTAATGATTCAATCAGGTTAAACCTGTCTCCTGTTCCAATCAAGGTACTGTACGTAACTCCCCGAGGAAAGAAGAATGCAGCTCATCCTGATCTAACTGCACTTAACACAAGTATCTTACAGTAGTTGCATAATGCTTTACTATTTGCAATGCAGAACTTGATCTTGATCCTAGTGAAGGTAATGGCAGAACTCCTAGACCCTATATAGTGAGGCTAAGGCTGTAGCCACCTGAAGACACGCAGAACGATAGGATGGTGGGACTTGACGTTAGAAATAACCTTACGACCATCAGATCCTGATCTTACTATTACTACTACTGCTGCTGAACACTAACTTTTGGGAATTTAGACTGATTCTTACTCATGTAAGATAAGGCATAAGTCTAGTTCATAGTGTCTGATGTTTTCCTGGTCTGTTCGAGTAAACTTAGCCATTTTACTGAGCAATGGTGGTGTCACTGCTAGACAGCAAATTACCATTAGCAAAAGGAACTAGTTTTATAGGGTGGTGGAAGGAGTCACAGAAAATGTTCTAAAGCCAAAGATTTTGCAAAGCCTGACTCAGCTTGTAGTCAGACACTTGGAAGCATCCACCACTAATAAGCAGTGCCCTTACTCCAGTTTAGTGTGTGCTGCATTCCATTAAATGTGTCCAGCAAGGAGTGTATTAACCATATTTGCTAATTACAAAGGAAGAATTTAGTACTATCTTGTACAGAAGTTTCAGGCACCAGTAAGACCAATGCCCCTCAAACTCAAGTGATGTACAGATTATTCCAAACATGAGGAATTTCAAGGCAACCTCAGAAGAAAAAGGTACCAGGTTTCCCATAGTGTGAAATGGTGTACAAGGGACATACATGCATATGTGACACAACAGGCAATTTCACACCTGTGTTCTGTCTCTCCACAGGATAAGGTAAAATGTTATCAACAGATGGGAGTATCTCTTCACTATGCCAGTGACAAGAATACAATATACACATTACTATTCGTATTGATAATTAAGGGATATCCGTCTTCAGCACATGTGTTGGCTCTGGTGAGGGCAGCAGAGTTCTGGAGCTCAGTTTCATATACTGCATGTTTGTCATTTTCTTTGTGGAAGAACTTTTTTTGTAATCATGAATTGTCCAAATATGATCTGGTCAGTTAGCATTTGAAGTTTTAGGATTTGCTTAAGTGCTTTGTAGTTGGCCTCACATTTGTGAGGTTGGCCATATTTGTGGTCTGAAACTGCTACATACCTGAAATTCCGGGACATCTATATAGAACAAGTCGTGGCATGATACTGAATCTGAATAGTAATTAAGGGTGACACATACAGTAGAAATGACAATGTTTCATCATATCAACAAGAATTTAGATATGCATCAAGACACATTCACAGTTAAGTGGGAAATCTTTTCTTTATATGGGAATAGCCTGACAACCTTTAAAATGAAAGCCCATTGCACCAATGTGAGTACAAAAACTTAATAAAATATTAGCATAGCTTTTGAAGACATACCTTAAAATCCTCAGTAACGCTCCTTGGTGCTTTTGTGGATGGTGTCACA